GGAAGGAAGGAGGGAGGGGGAGAGGCTGCTGCTCCTCCAAGGCACTTAACCCCAGTGCTGGGATGGTTTGATCCCATCCCCTGCACCAGAGCAAGGAGCAGTTTTGGCACTGAGCTCACCTGCACAGGTAGAGGCAGGGCAGGAGAGGAGAGCAGAGCCATGGCATGGCCCTGTGGGAGCTGCCACTGCTTCACTGCAGTGTTCCCTCACCTTTCCACCCCCTGAGCAGGGGCAGAGTCAGCCTGGGGTCCAGGGGCTTTGCATCCTGTGCATCCATCTGGGCTGGACTATAGGACTAGCTAATCCTTCCCTTCAAACCAAACCCCATCCCTGTGGTTGTTCAGAGCCCCTGGGACCCATCCCCATCCCCTGCATGCTTCCCTCTCCCATCCCACCACTCTACCCCTATCCTTGGTGTCAAGATGAGAAATGACCTGGTCAGACCAAGCAGCATTTACAGGACATTTGGGGACCCAGCAAGGGGCAGGGGAAGGGCTCAGATGACCCCAGTGGTACAAAAACAGCCACATAAAGCAACGTCTGTGATCAGTGCAGGGCTCTCCATCCATCCCCTGCCAACACAGGGGGCTGTGGCCCCTCCAGAGGGTTTTCTGCCCCCAACACTATTCCAGCATGTCCTCACTGGAATGCTGATCCAACTCCCAAAAGATTCACCTCATAAGCTGTCCCAGCAGTGTCCTGGTGTCCTGTCACCTGAAAGCAGTGACCGACTCCAGCGAGGCAGCGACGACGTGGGGGCATCACCCCCAGGATGGAGCAGACAAGGAGGCTGTGCAACCTCTCCAGGCAACTCCAGCTCCTCCTGCCACCACCAGGCAGGTCACACCGTGGCCAGGGAGCTGCCAAAGCAGCATCTCAGCTGTGCTGTCCTCCAGCTCCGTGCAGGTGTCCCACGGGTGCGGCGAGTCGGCGCGCGGTCGGCACGGCTCCTGGCTGAGCCACCTCAGGGTCCCACGCAGAGGGGACACCCACTGCCCTGTGCCACACAGCAGCTCTCCCTGGGCTCAGACAGCCGTGGACTGCTTGATGCTGTGGAAGCTGACACGTGTGGGGGACGTGGGGATGGACATGGCCCGAGCCACGCGCGCACGGATGGAGTGTTTGTCCTGCCAGCGATGCCAGCGCTTCCGCACGGCCGAGCGCACCTGGGGGCACAGAGGGCACGGTTAGGTTGAGCATCAGAGGCTCATCCAACCTGGAATGAACACTGAGGGTTGGGGCAGTCGCAGCCTCCCTGGGCAATCTGTGCCAGTGTCTCACCAACCTGTGCCAATGTCTCACCACCCTCACAGGAAAAACTTCTGCCTAAGATCTAGCCTAAATTTCCCCTCCTTCAATTTGAACCCATTGCTCCTTGTCCTGTCCCTGCAGCTCCTAACACAGATCCCTCTGCAGCTTCCCTGGAGCCCCTTCAGCTCCTGCAGGTGCTCTGAGGTCTTCACACAACCTTCTCCTCTCCAGGTTGAACAGCCCCAACTCCCTCAGCCTGTCCTCACAGGGGAGATGCTCCAATCCTCTTAGCATTTTTGTGGCCTCCTCTGGACTTGCTCCAACAGTTCCATGTCCTCACTACACTGAGGCACCAGAACTGTATGCAGAATTCCTGATAGGTCTCAGGAGAGCAGATTAGAGGGGCAGAGAGTCACTGAGGCACCAGAACTGTATGCAGAATTCCTGATAGGTCTCAGGAGAGCAGATTAGAGGGGCAGAAAGTCACTTCCCTTGACCTGCTGCCACACTCCTTTGGATGCAGCCCAGGATTCCATTGGCTTCCCTGGATGTGCCCTTGTCCATGCCCTGAGTACCCTCCTGTGTATGGGGATGGATTCCCCAGGGATGGAACACCCTTGGCTCTACTGCACCAAATCACACAGGTGCACCCTGAAAACCTCCTCCAGGAGGTGGATTTTCCCCCTCCAAAGGAAGACACTGACAGTGGCCATTCCCATCTGGGCACAAGCCATGGCTGCAGGAAGGATGGAGATACCCCCAACACCTCCCCAGCCCCCAGTGCTCACCTCACTGTTCAGGAAGCAGTAGAAGACAGAGACAAAGAAGCCCTGGAAGGAGACAAGCAGCAGAGTCACAGGCAGCAGACACCCCGAGGGCAGAGCTTGGGAGCAGCCCTGGGATTTGGGAATGTCTGTTTGGGAAGGGGCAGAACTGGGGTGAGGCATCAGCCAGGGTGAGATCTTCCACATCCCTTACTGGGGGGACTGGGATGGAAGACAGAGCTGAGGTCTATACCTGGAAGGACTCCAGAAAGGAATTGAAGTAGATGAAGACTATCCTGGAGATCTCATCCTCCCCTGGGTTGACAAAGAACAGCATGTAGGTGATTCCCAGCAAGGGCAGCAGCACCAGTGTGGCCTTGACTGCTTTCCTGGGGAGAAAACATGTTCCTGAGGTGCTGCAGGACAACCCTGGGCATGAGGACACTCCCCATCCTTCTCCCAGCACCAGCATAGCTGGGACTGGTCTGGCTGGGACTGCCAAACCAGTGACTGGGGGAGGACAGAGTGGAATTGAGCTGTTTTCCAGTGCAATCCCCAAGGGACTGAGCTGATTTGAGCACTGGGAAGCTGCTGTGCTTCTCCATCCAGAAAAGGGCAGTGGAGAGTAAAGATCTGACCTTGTGCTGGCATGAACTGATTGCCTGGCTGAGCCAGAGCTCGATTAAAAAGGAATTAAGGGGAGTATAATCATTCACACCCTTCAACACGGGTTTATGAAAACCTTATCTCAGGTAATTAATTAGATATCTTCACTTGATGAGATTACAAGTGTGGCTGGTGAAAAGCCACAGTGCTGATACAGGCAGCATGGGAAGGATCACATCAGGGCTTGGCATCCCCTTCCTTTGGATTAGGGGACAAGAACAATGCCAAGTCATCACTTTTTTGCTTAAAGATCCTTTTAATGGAGAGATTCCAACATCAGCTGAACACAGGGAAGGTCATCCCTGGTGGATCTGGGAGCTGTGCTGCAGTGCTGACCTGGAGGAGAGCACAGCCCCTGACAGGATCTGCCAGTTGACATGGAGAAGCTGCAGGTAACTGAGGGCAGGAACATCTTCAGGCTGGAAAACTGTGGGACAGCACATTGACTGGTGTAGCTTCTCCAGGGGAGCTGATAAAGCCACCCTCTACCCAGCCCTGCTTCTCTGAGCCAGCACACAGGGACAGTCCCCAATTCCAGCCCCAAAATGATGCAGAGAGAAGCACTGCTGAAGACCACAGATCTTCTCCTCATCCAGGTACTCTGGAGAGCTGCTCTGAGCATGCACCTCCCAAGTTGTCTGCAAAACATTCCCCAGCAGGGAAGGGTTAAATTTTCCTGCCTTATGCTGTCTTCTTCACGAGGAGGTGTTGGGGTGGCATCGATTCCTCACTCCTTGCTCAGCCTTTGCTTTGCTGTCCAGCAGAGATCTAATTCTCACCTCTGTGCCAGGATTTGCAGCTCTGAGCCTGGAGAGCTCATTGGGTCCCACCACAACAGGCTCTTGCAAAGAGGCTCAGCTCCCTCCAAAGACAGATCCACCCTTCCTTGTTCTCCATCACGAGACTCTCACTGGCCACGTTTGAACAACCCCAGATGCAACAGCCATGTGCCTCCAAAAGGTGTTTGAGGAGCTCTTAGGTGTCTCTCCATGCTCCCATCCCTTTGATACTGTTCCTATCCCCCTAATGATGTGAGGAAGCCAATTCCTAGGTTGTCTTTCTGCAGGGTCACTCATGCTCTTACCTGTACTGGATTGTCTCTGATGTGGTTGAAGCTCGGAGCTTCGTCATGAGGATTCGGACGATGTTGAAGAGAAAGATGAAGTTGATCTGGAAGGAAGAGAGTCACTGGTTAGTGTCTCCCCAGTGTTTCCTCCCATTTCCTCAGCAGAAGCTGTGCCAGGAGAAATGGGAATGTTCCCTCTTGAACCTCATCTACTGCTTAAACTTCATCTACTGCTGTCCATGTCCTGTCCCAGTGCATCTGGTCTTTAAAGCACTTGAGAGTTTGGTCAAGGCAGCAGGAAACTGCCAAGGAAGGGAAAGTATCAGAGAAAGGGCTGAAGGTGGAAGAGTTGTGGGAGGAAGAATAAAAGGCAGCAAAGGGATTTGGGGGAGAGTGGCTGCCATCACAGCAAGGAGCTGTTGGCCTCTGTCCCGGCTGTGGAGTCACTAATGAGGGCACAGGAAGGTGTCCCTGGAGCTCAGCTTAATTGACATGGATTAGCTGTGGCCTGGCTACCTGATGGGCTGGGAAATGGAAGCAGGATCAATTATTCCACAAGGCTGGTCATTAATACTCCCTTGGCTCTGCTCAGCGCTGGGCAAAGGGGGAGGAGAAGTTTTGGGACTTTGAGTGTGGTTTTCTCCCTGCAAACACAGGTTGGACCTCCAGCACTGCCTGTGACCTGCCACCACTGCTCTGCTTTGTCCCTGCCCAAAAGGGCAAAGCCCCAGCAAACTGTGCTGCTTATGACCTCTGGCTCAAGCATCACTGCTCAGCCAAGGGCCAAGAGCAGAGGGAGGTGGATCAGAGAATGGAGAGGATGTTCCCAGGTTTCTGTGAGTGCTTGGGGAGAAGGACTCTGTATTCAGCACAAAAGGTCACTTTGCTCTTACCAGAAGCACCAGGATCATGGGCCCTTGATAAATGTAGTCAGTATAAACTCCTGCTCTCTTCCCAAACCAGCACCTGCAAGGTGAGGACAGGTGGTATTAGAGAAAAGTGGTGCTGGGCTCAATCCTACCATGGGGGTGACCTGGATGGACTCCTGGCCTTGCACAGGCTCTTTAGGTCACTGGCCAAAGGGCAAAACCTGTAGGACTTGAAGTGCTGTAGCCACTATGGAATAGCTTCCCTGAGAACCCAAGAACAGAGGTGCATGGAGGGGTGTGGGGGTGTTCTGGGTTCCATATGGATGTGGAAATTGGTTATTGCAGGATAAACAGGGATGACCTTGCACACACACAGGTCTGGGTTGGCTCTGCTCCCTGAGGGAGCTCAGCCAGGTGTGTCCCTGTCCTGGGAGCACCTTGGTGGGGTTGTAAAATCAGTGCTGTGCCCGTGTGTGCAGCACAGAGCTGCTGAAATTAGGAGGAAAAACTAGCTCTGGAAAACAGGCCGAGCTGCCATTCATCCCAACTGGCTGCTCTGAACTTCCCAGGGCATGGGATGAGCTCTCAGGTGCCTGCTAAGTCCTTTGTTCACAGGTGTCTGTGAAAATGGCTCAGGTGGGGCAGTTTGGATCTCTGCTGGCAGATTAAATCCCAGCTCCACTTAGCAAACCTATTGTAGGAGATCTGGTTTAATCTTGCCTATTCCTCCCTTAAAACCTCCTCTGCCCTTGGAGGAGAAACGAGCAGGGGCAGGAGGCTGCAGGCAGGGCTGGTGCAGCAGGGCTGGAAAGCTGGATAAAAGAAAGCATGGAAGAATATAATCTTTTTTTTTTTTTTCCTCCCTGCTCCTGGCACAGCTGATCTCTGGGGATTTGGGGAGGGAACTGGGGAATGAGAGCAATCAGGCTCACTTCTCGTTGTCGTAGTAGAGCTTCCCAATGGCCCAGGCAACGATGATGGGAAAGGGGATACCTGCAGGGAACACACAGGTGAGTCTCAGGGGGGCAATGCCAGCATCAAATCACCCTCAAACAGGAGTTTCCTCTCACACAAACCACTCAGTGAGATGTGTCCGTGATGGGATGATGGGAAAGGGATACCTGGAGGGAACACATAGGTGAATCTCAGGGGTGCAACATCACCACAAAATCACAATTCCAGGGATTTTATCACACACAAAGCACTCAGTGAGATGTGTCCATGATGGGAAAGGAGACAGCTGCAGGGCAACACACAGGTGAGTCTGAGCTGCAACACCACCACAAAATCATGCTGCAACAGAGGTTTTCTCACACACAAACCACTCATCTCATCCTGCTGCTTCCAGCAGTTTTTTGGGTGTTTTTTTTTGTTGGTTTTGCAGCTGCCTGGGTGCAAGAAGAGCTGCAGCAGGGGAAGGGGTAGGAATCATCCCTGGCACTCACACCAGCCGATGCAGATGAACATCCACTTGCGCAGTTTGTCGGTGGAGTAGGTGAGCACGATGGCTGTGTGCAGGTAACAGCCCTCACCAAACATCCAGAAGAAGTTGGTGACATGGAAATAGTTGTAGGCAGCAGTGACCAAGCGGCACCAAACCTGTTAGGGGGGTTAGGAGGAGAGGTGGAGGGTGAAAAGCCTGCAGAGCTCTGTGCTACAGTGGTGAAATCAATGCACAGAGCAGCACAGATCTCATGTTCCTCATAGAACCATAGAGAATCAGAGGATTTTAGGGGTAGTGGGATGATGGGGAGGGGATAGGGGAAATGCTCCAATCCTCTTAGCAATTTTATACACCTTGAGTTGTCCTCCAACCACCCAACAGCCTTATTTGGCCCCTCAAACTGCTTTTGTAGCCTCAAGAGCATCAAACTCAGAGTAGGTTTAGATGAGATATTGGAAAGGAATTGTTCCCTGGGAGATGCTGAGGCTCTGGCACAGGTTGCCCAGAGCAGCTGTGGCTGCTCCATCCCTGGGAGTGTTCCAGGCCAGGTTGGATGGGGCTTGGAGCAACCTGAGCTGGTGGGAGGTGTCCCTACCCATGACAAGGGATGGAATCTTTCAGGATCCCTTCAGGTCTGAAAGATGGATCTTTTGGGTCCCTTCCAACCCAAAGCAGTCTGTGATTCCATGATCTTCAGGATCCTCAGGGGAGTGCTCCAGGCCAGGTTGGATGGGACATGGAGCAACCTGAGCTGGTGGGAGGTGTCCCTACCCATGACAAGGGATGGAATCTTTCAGGATCCCTTCAGGTCTGAAAGATGGATCTTTTGGGTCCCTTCCAACCCAAAGCAGTCTGTGATTCCATGATCTTCAGGATCCTCATGCTCCCCACACCTGCTCAGGACTGGGCTCAGACCAGCAGAGCTGCACACCTACCACGTTGCTCTCGTGCACCTCTGGGTTCATGGTGAGCTGCACCACGAACCACGTGGCGTTGCGCAGGATGAAGGCTGTGATCAGGTTCCAGTGGATGATGTTCCTCAGGCAGCGGATGCTCCTGGAGAGGGGTGGAACAAGGGACCATCAGAGTGTGGTGGCTGGCTGGGGACTGGCCACAGACTGGGGGACAGAGTGGTTTGTGGAGTTGTGTGGCTTTGTTGGGACCCCAAGTGTGAGCTGCAGGGGTCCTGCAGGTGAGCAGGAACAAGGACAAGAGGTGGAAGGCACCAAGGAGGACCCTCTGCCTCCATACCCAGGTGCAGCAGGAGGGAAACAACCCTGAGACAGGTATGATGCCTCCAGCCTGGAGAGCAATGACCATGGGGAAGATATGGCAAAACACAGGGGTCAAGTCCATCCCCAGTCCAAGGGCCATGGGGTGACCTCTGTGGGCTCATCCTCCAGCAGGAACTTGGCAGCAGTTGTGTCACTCACCGCAGGCGCATGAAGAGGACGAAGGCCACGAGGAGAGCTCCCAGGGACACACAGTGCCCCAGGTAGTTGATGATGACAGCAATGTGGTAGTGCAGTTTGCTCTTCTTCTGGTGGGAGAGATGAGAAGGAGGGTCAGCAGCAGTCCTGGTACCACCACAAACCCTCCTCCTCCACCACCACAAACTGTTCTCCTCCACAACAAACTCTCCTTCTCCTCCACCACATCATCTCCAGGAGCTGCACAGCACATTTTGGGAGCTCCACAACTGGAGCCCACCCTGGGGCAGGACAGTGGGAATGGGAATGGAAGGAGATTGGGTTGATGTGGACAGCAGAGGCACCAGCCTGGTGTCACATCTCACTGCTACCAGGGCAGCTCACAGCTGCTTCCCCAGCATCCCTCCTGCTCAGCCCTGGGACATCCCCAACCTATCTTTGAGATTCAGATTAGATGTTAGGAAACATTTCTTCCCCTTCCAGGAGGCATTGGAATATTGCCCAGGGAGGTGATGGAGTCATCATCCCTGGAGGTGTTTGAGATGTGTCTGGACCTGGCACTGGAGGATATGGTTTGGGGGTTCCAGCAGTGACAGGTTAATGGTTGGACTCGATGATCTTAGAGGTCTCCTCCAGCCTTGATAACTCTGATTCTATTCTCTGAGGAAATCCTGCTGGAGTCTGAAGCCTCAGTTCAGTTTGTTGCCCTGGGGGCAGCTGAGAGCTAGGCTGAATTTGGGCAGAGGGAAGGTGTGAGTGCTAATTAAGTTAATTGATCACTCCTGCTGTTAGGCTCCCAGCCAACCTGTGAATTAGCAATTAACTGCCTGAGAAAACCAGTCCTGGCAAGAGATTTCAGAGTCTTAAATACCAGAAGTGGTAACAACTGCAAGTGAACAACTCAAACCTCTTCTCCTCTGCTCTAAGGGGTGGCTCCACCTACTCAGGGGCTTGTAATTCTTGATCCTCAACTTTTTATGCCTAAATATCTCCTTTATTTCATTGCCAGCAGAGAAGGATGGGGTTTGCACTGAGCCCAGTGGCAGGAGGGAGTTGGAGGACAGACCTGGAGGACATGCTGATCTGTACCTAATGGCCCTGGAGACCTCCTGCTGCTAATCCTCCTGGATTTCTGAATGGGGATGGAAGCAGGTTTGGCTTTATTTGTAAAGGGGACTGAAAATGCAGCTCAACAGGGTCATATTTGCCATATTCAACCTTCCAGCTGGGATGCTGCTGCAGGCCCAGCCTTCTGAAGCTCCATTTTTTTGGTCCCTCACCCTCTTGCCAAGAGCCAAAGGGTTCCCAAGGTCCTACCTCTTCACTGAGGATCTCCTGGCACTGGGAGTAGTTGACCCGTGCTGCCCAACTCCCGTTGGCAAGGCACTCCCTGTAGCCATTATCTGAAAGACAGGATCATCCAAGGGTTAGCAGAGCATGGGAATGTGCATGAGGATGTGACCTGGCTCTTGTCACTGATGGACAACAACATTGGCATGAGGACAGTGGCATCTTTTGCTTTGAAGCAGCTCAGCTGTTGCCTTGGTTGCAATTGCAGAACCAAAGTCCTTGGAACATTCCAGACCCACCCAAGGGTTTTGGGTTTGCACCAGCTCTGCCCCTCAAAATTGAGGGACCACTGGGATGCAGTAGGAGCAGCACAAGTTGATGAGTTTTTGTGGGAAACAAAATGTTTCTTTCAACAACAACTGTGCTTGGGTGTCAGGAACTCAGCTGTGTGCTAGGAATGGCTTTGGGCACTTCTCATGTGCCTTCACTTCATCTCCTGCTCCCAACACATCATTGGCAGTGACAGTGCAGTCTTGGCTCAGCTGGGGACTGCAGACCTCTGTGCCACCTCCAATGGCAGGGCAAGCTCACTCCTCTTCCCTTGTCCCCAGGATGGGCACATCAACCCTCTCCTGCCAGGAGGACTTGCTTATAAAGCTGCTGTTGTGAAACCACCTTCCCTGAAACCTGGGACACGAGGGCTCTTTCTCTTTGGGTGGATGGATCCCACAGAGCCCAGATGTGTCCCCCATGCCCCCTCAACCCTTGTCCCAGCAGTGCTGCCCATCTTACTGGTGGTGTTGTACCGCACTCCGTAGAAGAACTCGGGGCAGGGCCGAGCCACCAGCTGTCCCACCGCGCTCCGGGGCCAGCACGTCCCGATCAGGTCTACTGAGGCATTGCACTGGGGACCTGTGGGGAGAAAGGCAGAGGGTTGGTGAAGGTCTTTGGGCCACCATGGGCCACCTCCAGCTGTTGAAAAGTCAGGATTTGCCTGGAGAGCTGAGGCTGCAGTGCTGGAGGAGCTGATGGGTCACTGCAAGTTCAACCCCTGACACAGCAGACACCACATGGGGTTGTGCCAAGACTTCCCAAGGATTGGTTGATCCATCCTGGCTGTGACTATGACCCTGGTCCTGTCTGAGCACGGGGTTAAGCCTAACTCTGGCATAAACCTGGTTTTAGACCTCATTTCCCAAGTCAGCTTGACTTTGGTGTTCCAGCCCTGCTCCTTCTTCAACCTTTGGCATCCAACCCCACAATGGGCAACAAGGCAGATTTCCTCTTCCCCAGTGTTGACTCCATCGTGGTGCTGGTGGGACACTCCTCAGAGCCTCTCCAACACTCCTGGCTGCAAAATCTCCTTCCCAGCCATTCCTGTTGGTCTCTTCCAGCCTTTCCCAGGCAGCAAACTCCAAATGTGCTGCTGCTATTTCAGATTTCAAGCAGGACTTGTGTGTTTTTCCCAGCACCACAAGTGTGCTAACGTAGGCATTAGGTAGGCCAGATTGCAGGCTTTTTTTTTTTTCTGTATAATTTGTGTATATTTAGAACAACATGTACTGCAGCTAAATATGT